GTAGTTAGTAGTTAGTAGTTAGTAGTTAGTAGTTAGTAGTTAGTAGTTAGTAGTTAGTAGTAGTAGTAGTAGTAGTAGTAGTAGTAGTAGTAGTAGTAGTAGTAGTAGTAGTAGTAGTAGTAGTACTAGTAGTAGTCGCAGTAGTAATCGTAGTAGTAGTAGTAGTGGTAGTAGTAGTAGTAGTAGTAGTAGTAGTAGTAGTTGTAGTAGTAGTAGTATTAGCAGTAGTAGTAGTAGTAGTAGTAGTAGTAGTAGTAGTAGTAGTAGTAGTAGTAGTAGTAGAAGTAGACAGTTATAGAAAGAGGTCGTACTCAGGTCTGGCAGTGAATCTCATACCCTAGCAATGGGTCTAGTAGTCGCATGGTATTACTGTAATAGAAATAACCCGCTGCTGTCGTAGTCGGATCTTTTAGTAATATCATCGAACTGGAGTGCATCAGAAGTAGTGCAGTAGGAACCGTTTCGTACTGTTGTGGAACGGTGGTGTACGAGTGTAGTAGTGGCACTGTCGAAGCAGTGATCTAGTAAAGGATTGGTAAGAGTAGTACTCAACGATTGCCTGCAACACTGTAATCAGAATGCTCCACTGCCGCAGCATGGCAAACACTGTTGTGGTATTATCATACATGTAGTGCTGTAGTGGTGACGCTGTAACAGTAGTAGTGAACGCTGTAATAGTCGTATGGCAACGCTGCAGCAGTCCTATGGCATAAGTGCTACTTTAGCACTGTACTAGTATTGCTCTAAGACTGGCAGTCGTCGTACTGGAGCTTTAGCATTGGAGTGCTCAAGCGCGGCCGCCGTGCCCTAGCAGCGTAGTGCCGCAGTAATACTGAATCAGTAACATTCTACGGTAGTAGTAGTAGTAGTAGTAGTAGTAGTAGTAGTAGTAGTAGTAGTAGTAGTAGTAGTAGTAGTAGTAGTAGTAGTAGTAGTAGTAGTAGTAGTAGTAGTAGTAGTAGTAGTGCTCTGGTGCATTGGTAGTGGTGACGACGTAATGGTGGATGTGGGAAAAAAACGCGGTCTTGTAACACATTAGTCGTGTATCATCACTCTTATATGGTCGAGCTGGTGTACTAGCAATTGCCTTGTAGGAGTAGTCGCACCCTAATATTGTGATAGTATAGCTTTTGTAATAGTGGGGTAGTAGTAATCCTTGGTATTGTAATAGCATTTGAAGGTATTAGGCTCAGGCTAGGCTTTGGCTGAGTTTAGTCTCAGGCCGAGGCCCAGGCTGAGGCTGGGGTTTCTTCTAGGCTTTGGCTGAGGCTCTGGCTGAAGCTAGGCTGAGGCTTGGGCTAGGCTTGGGGTTGGCTTAGGCTGAAGCTTCCGCCGAATCCCGGGCTGAGGGCTCAAGCTGAGGGCTTAGGCTGGGGTGTAGGCTATGCCAGGGCCTAGGTTTAGGCTGAGGTTTGGGTCAGGCTTAAGCTATGCTTAAGCTTGCCTGGTTCCACTACAACGCCGTAGTAGAAATTGCCCAATGCCGTATACTCGCAGCACGGCTGTAGCACTATGCTACTGTAGTGCTGTAGTGGTGTCGCAGTAATAGTCGTAGTAGTAGTAGTAGTCGTAGTAGTAGTAGTAGTAGTAGTAGTAGTAGTAGTAGTAGTAGTAGTAGTAGTAGTAGTAGTAGTAGTAGTAGTAGTAGTAGTAGTAGTAGTAGTAAGTAGTAGTAGTAAGTAAGTAGTAGTAGTAGTAGTAGTAGTAGTAGTAGTAGTAGTAGTCAAGTAGTAGTAAGTAGTAGTAGTAGTAGTAGAGTAGTATTAGTAGTAGTAGAGTAGTTAGTAGTGTAGTATAGTAGTTAGTAGTAGTAGTAGTAGTAGTAGTAGTAGTAGTGTAGTAGTAGTAGTGTAGTAGTATTCGTGGTGTAAGTAGTAGTAGTCGTAGTAGTAAGTAGTAGTAGTAGTAGTAGTAGTAGTAGTAGTAGTAGTAGTAGTAGTAGTAGTAGTCGTATAGTGTAGTAGTAGTAGTAGTAGTAGTAGTAGTAGTAGTAGTAGTAGTAGTAGTAGTAGTAGTAGTAGTAGTAGTTTAGTAGTAGTAGTAGTAGTAGTAGTAGTAGTAGTAGTAGTAGTAGTAGTAGTAGTAGTAGTAGTAGTAGTAGTAGCGGAGCTCTAACATCGGAGTGCTCAAGCAGGGTAGCCTTACCCTGGTACTGTATTGCCGTAGTAATACTATATTTGTATAATTCTACTGAAGTCGAAGTAATGATCTGGTGCACTAATGGCAGTAACACTGTAGTGGTGGCTGGGCGAGCAGTACAGTATTGCAATACTTCAGTAGTGTAGCAGCATTATGGTACGGTCGTGCGGTTGAAGTCGTAGTAATGTTGTGGGGGTCGTAATGATATAATAATTTATGTGTAGTGATAGGGTCGTCGCAATCATGGGGTTGCGGCTCTGGCTAGGTTGTGGCTGAGGCTGAGGCTAGGCTTAGACCGATGCCAAGGCTGAGGCTGAGTCTCATGTTGCGCTGAGGCTTACACTGAGGCGGAGGCCTAGGGGAGGCTGAGGCACAGGATTGGATGTGACTGGGCTGGTACAGGCTGATGCTTAGGCTAGGCGGCTGTGCTTAGGCGTATATTGAGGTTCAGGCCAGGTTTAGGCAATGCTTAGGCTGAGGCTGAGGCTGAGGCTGAGGCTGAGGCCAGGCGCGGGGTAGGCTGAGGCTGAAGCTGGGCAGAGACAGAGGCTGAGACTAGGCTAAGCCTGAGGCTGATGCTGAGGTTCGGTTTCGGTTACATATTGGCTGGGGCTTGAGCTAGGTTCGGCTGGGGCTTAGGCTAGGCTTAAGCTGATGACCTGGCTGGGGACGGTGGAGAGAAAGAGGGATAGAGAGAGAGAGAGAGAGAGAGACAGAGAGAGAGAGAGAGAGAGAGAAAGAGAAACAGAAAGAGGCAGAGAGAAAGAGAGAGAGAGAGAGAGAGAGAGTGAGAGAAAGAGAAAGAGGAAGAAACGTAGAGAGAGAGAGAGAGAGAGAGACAGAGGGGGGGAGAGAGAGAGAGAGAGAGAGAGAGAGACAAAAAAAAACAAAAGAGAGGACAAGGGATGCAGCGCCGAGGAAAAACACAGCGAGCATGCCGCGCCGATACCGGCGGCAAGCTGACGACGCGCTCCGCCTCCCACAAAACAGAATCATTAAAAACGCAAGGGTGGGGTGGGGTGTGTGGGGGGGGGGGAGGGGGGGTCGACCCCTGAACCGCCTGAACCACTCTCTCTTGGAGAACGTCTGCCACCTTTCGTTCGGAGTTCTTTGCCGCTTCTTCGGCAGCCTGCAACTGATATCAATTCTGCAATTCCTTTTCGGCCATGTCCCCGCGATGTTCCCTTTCCAATATGACTAGTTTGGCGTATTCTTCTATCTCTTTCTTCCTGCTTTCCGTCGCCGTCAGAGACAGCTGAGCTGCCTCCGAGGTCGCTCGATGGCTCAGCTGTGCCTGCTGCGCGAACTGTATTTTTCCTTTTCGTTCTGTATCTGCCATAGTTATTATTCTTTTTGCCGCTGGAGTTCTCGCATGTGCGCAACCATCTGATCGCGAATCTCCTTTTCCTCGACATTTTTCGCAGTTTCTTTTTACTGCCAAGCGACGACAACAAGACGTTGACACTTACGTTCCGTTGTTTCAATACAGTCTGAGCGAAGCCAATTGACGCTGCAATGCGGACAGATGTTTGAACAGAGCCCGCAGACAGGGCGTAGGCATGGAACATCGGCTTTTCCAACTTTTCTTGGGCACATGTTTTCTGCCATGACTGGGCATTGTGATCCCTGTGCCCCACGACCTACCCTGACCGAAATGCGACCCGACGACGAGTCACGGGAATCCTGACTGCTCCTCGACCTCCCACCAAATCTAGACACCAGCGGGGCACTGAGGATCTGACACCAATCGTTCGAAGATGGCGACATGGGCTCTTCAGGTGCCCCCATCAACTTCTTGTATCACGAGACAAGTATTGGCTTCCGCTAAGCTTCCAGTTGAACTGGAAACCTGCATCGGCGAAGCTTGTTCCATGCTGATGTCGTCTGGTATTTTAGGTCACTTCGGCACTGGGGTTTCCCCAGTAGCATCTCTTACGTGCTCAGTCGACGTTGCTGCGGCGCGTCCTCTGCCTTTGATTGACGAGCGCTCGGATCGTCAGACTCCATGATGCCTGAAAGGTCACGTTCGATGGCACCGCCTTGAACCAACGCCGAGGCTTCTCCCTGAACTCGCACGAACGGTTCACCAGTGGACGATAGCGGAGGAACATTCGGGGAGGGCTGGCCCACCAAGTTTGATACGATGCTAATTATAATCTTCGGCTGTTGCAGATTCTACAGTTACTCCAGAAGTTTCATTCATGTCCATCTGTGCATCGGATGCAATCATTGCGATTTCGGCTGGTAACCAATGGCTTGCCAGAGGAAGGGGGTCCTCAGCAAATGTGGGGTGTGAAAATGGTGCAATATCGGTCTAGCTACTTCTCTGGACCTGTCGTATCGACATGAAGGTGATATTCTTTGAGCTGGTATGTAAGGATATGTGTGCACGGGAAGGGAGACGACAGCACGACGACGACCCGAAACGCTCCCTTCTCTAACAAGCGTGCAGCCGGCCCGCGGTTCCGGTTTATCTTTGTTGAAACTAAATGGTTGCGGAAACGCAATATGGCGCAAAAGCAGCGGGCGGCGGCGGCGGCACAGAGACGGGGAAGGAAGAGGTTGAACAACTCGGGGTCGTAAGAATACGTTCAGGATGAAAACCCAGCCCTGGGGAATGGGTCGTCGACGTTATGAGAAAACATGGCGCGGGGGGTCTGTGAACGGTGGCCCTTGGCAGCGGTGTGGCCTTTGGTGCGCGGCTGTGGGCGGCCGCGGGGGGACCCAACCCATGCGTGCGGGGCAGGTTGGGCGGGGATCGCGCTACATCGCCGCTGTATCGGCGAGGCACCACCGACGTCGGACCCCACCCAAAGAGGGCCCGCACCCGAAAGCCACACCAGCGAATGGCCACTTCCTACACGTGCGGCCGAGGCCTGCCAGCTGCCGTCGCCACCCTTCAGCCTCAGCACGGGGCGCCCGTCCGCAAGGGCCGCCCAAGCCGCGGCCTCCTCCTGCGGCTGCGGCGGCGGCGGGGCGCCGGCCGCGTCGGACCCGGCCAGGCTCGGCGGCTGCCGGGGCCGGCCGTTGCCGCCCAGCAGCGCGCGGCTCTCGGGCAGCAGCGCGGGGTCCGCCTCCGCCATGGTGCGGGGGACGACGCGCGGCGCCGCGGCGGCCGGGCGCGTCTGGGCGGGCTCGTCCGAGAGCCTCGCCAGCACCGCCTGCAAGTCGGCCGCGTGCCCCTCGGACGCGTCGGCGCGCCGGCCCTGGTCTTTGAGCTGCGCGCGCAGCGCCGCGCTCTCGCAGCGGGCGTCGTCGAGGTCGCGGAGCGCCTCCTGGTTCGCCTCCCCGGCTGGCAACACAGCAGTGGGGAACCGTGCTCTTCACACCCGGGGGGGGGGCCCTCGTGTCGACCACCTCTGGGGTGCTGAAGCCGATGGGCCCCCCAAGGGTGGGGGAAGGACCACAGCTCCCCACGTTGTGGCCGGCCTGCCTCCTTCAATGTGGACACCTCCGTGATCAGCTTGCTGATCTCCTGCAGCCTGAACTCCTCATCTCTGGAGCTTCCAACTCGGATACCAGGAATTTCGACCACTATTCTCTGTCGTGTCCGTGCGTCGCGCGCTGAAGTGCCCTCGCGCGCCGGCCCCGTGCGAATTGGGCAAGCGCGCTGGCCAGCCCTGTATGTGAAAGAATCAGCCGCGCACTCGCGCCCAGCGGTCGACAGTTGCGTAATCCCACCGCATGAACATATCATGCCCGCAGGCGGTCGCCAGGCCCTTCGTCGCGGGGTGGCAAGGGCGACACACTGGGGAGGGCCAGAGACGGCGGGCACCGCGAGAGATGAGAAGGGCCGAACGGGCGCGGACAAAGTTCGCCCTCTCACGAGGCCGGCTCACTGGCGGAGCCGCAGGCCCACCCCGCTGGCGGCATGGCAGGCGGCATTGCCGGGCAACCTCCTGGGTCCCCTCTTGGGGTTCACGCTGCGGCTCTGGGTCGCACTTCCAGTCTCCACCCCGGCCGCCCTTCCACCTGCCATGCCGCCATTGGGGCGGGTGCGCGGCCCCGCCCCCCCAAAACCTGACTGCGTTCCGCGCCGCCCCCTGCCGACGGCCAGCAAACCCGACGGGTGGCAGCAGCGGCACGGGCACGCTGCAGAGCACGAGAGGCAGTGAAGCAAGAAAGACATGGCAGATCCGAGGGGGCAGGAGAAAGAGAAGAATCGGCGCGCTCGCACCGCAACTGACACCATGCCCACGCCGTCCCCGTCCTAAGATGAAGGCCATCACCGACTGCTAGCGGCGCCGAGTCTCGTTCCCCCGGCACTTAGGCGACAACCCCGCGCCAAGCTGTCGAGCCTCAGAGCGCCCCAGGGCACCAACCACGAATTGCGCTTGGGACCCCCAGAGAGGAAACTCCTCGCCAGACTGCAGCTGCTGCAGCGCGGCCCGCAGCGCGTCCCGCTCGGCCACAACGTCCTCGAAGCTCTGGAGCATCGTCCGCTCGTCTTGGCTCCTTCCGCAAGTGGGGGCTGGGGACCCCTGAGGGAAGCGGGCTCTATGCCTGGGTCTGTCCCCAGAAGACTAGTTCTTCAGCCCGAGCCTCTCTTTGTCGGCCCATTGGGCCCGTGGAGGGTCCCGGGACACCAAAAACGGCGAAAGACCGGAATACCCTCTTCTTCAGGACCTCTTTTCGTCATGGCGGTTCTTTGAGAAGAGAGCGAAACTGCATAAACATAAACTTTCGACGGTCCACGCGGGTTTCTTGGATCTGCGCTGGACCCCCTCTCTGGTGCGCGGAGCGCGCCAAGGGCGGCGCTGGAGGCGCCGCCAAGGGGGTCCAGCGCAAATCTCGAAGAAATCCACGCGGACCGTCGACAGTTTATGTTTACGCCGTTTTTGATTTTTCGATCCTTGCTCTCTCCGCGTCCAGGAGGCCCCGCAGTTCGTTCGCCTCCGACTGCAGCTGGCGGATGCGACGGGTCAGGCTCTCGCGCTCGTCGGCGGCCTGTCGGCGCTGCTCTGCCACCTGGTCGAGCTCGGCCCTCGAACCCAGTGCCAGGACGTAGAAGGGCGTGAGGGGCATCACGTCGGATCCAGGCCTGTAGCTCTCGAATATCCGCCACCGTGCCCCCCCGTTCGCGCGGAGGCGTGGTGGAATGCGAAGCCCTGCCTGGCAGGGCTTCTGTGAATCTTCAGGGCTCCCCGCCTCTCGCCACGCTGGGGTGCACGCGCCGCCCCCCTCCCCCGAGGGCAGCCCAGCAGCCCCCCTGGCGCTCGCCAAGGCTCTTGCAGGGCTCCCAGGACGGCCTAGGAATGGAACCAAGATTGCCCGACGTTCCCTCCGGAGGAGGTACCCGACAGCGCCCAGGAGGACGCCGAGAAGCGCCAGCGGGCCCCAAGAGGCTTCCAAGAAGCCCTCCACCTCTCAATCACCCTGTTCCTCCTCCCTCTCCTCCTTCTGCTCCTCCTTTCTTCTTCCTCCTCCTTTCTTCTTCTTCCTCCTCCTCTCCCCCTCCCCCTCCCCCTCCCCCTCCCCCCCCTCCCCCTCCTCCTCCTCCTCCTCCTCCTCCTCCTCCTCCTCCTCCTCCTCCTCCTCCTCCTCTCAGAGAGAGTCCCAGGAAACCGCCAAGGCAGCCCAACCGCACTTGAGGCAGGCCCTTCGAGGCTCCAGAAGGCCCCGTGCAGGTTCACTGGAACGGCGATGAGGAGCGTGTGCAGGAGGGAGGGGCGAACGAGATGGAGAGGGAGGCGGGATTCGCCAAGTTTTTGCCCGCGGCTTTCCTCAAGGATCGAGGAAGGAGTTCGAACAGCTTCGGACGGTTTGTGAATTTCTGCCCTTTTCGGGCCTCCGGGGACCTCCAGAGACCTCTGGGGGTCAGGATCTGGGGCGGGAGCAAATCTTAGCAGGCGGGATGACGAGGAGGAGAGGGAGGGGGAGGACGAGGAGGAGGGAAGCAGGACGACAATGATGAGGCCCTAAAGCGAAGCGGGAGACCGTGCCACAAAAGTATTACGGCTCTCTAGAGGCAAAGGGCGAAACGTGCCACGTCTTACGGCCTCTTCCCCCTACTTCTTCTCCTTCTTTTCCTTTTTCTTCTTCTTCTCCTTCTTCTCCTTCTTCTCCTCCTCCTCCTCCTCCTCCTCCTCCTCCTCTCGTCCCCTCTTGCCTCCTCTTCCTCGTCTCGGCCAAGCCGGCCCGCTAAGAGCCGCCCAAGGAAAGACACGGAGGGGGAGGTGATGCAGGAAGGCAGTGAGGAGAAACATTTCCCAATCAGAGCTTGCCTCTGTAGGGGTCCTAGCGGATTCATATGGTTAGGTGAGGTGCGCCGCCGATTTCGGTGGCCGGCCCAGATGCGCCAGGTGCCCCGGTGCCTGGGTGCCCGGGTGCCCGGGGAGGCCCGGGTGCCCGGGGGTGCCCGGAGAAGCCTCGGGGTGCTGGGAGGTGCCCGGGGGTGCCCAGGTGCCCGGGTGCTCCATCGCCCTATAGCCCTATAGCCATATGGCCCTATAGCCCAATAGCCCTACAGCCATATCGCCCTGTAGCCCTAGAGCCCTGTAGCCCTGTGGCCCTACATCCCTATAGATCTATAGCCCAATAGCCCAGAAGCCCATATAGCCCTACAGCCCTATAGCCCTAAGCCCTATAGCCCTATAGCCCTACAGCCATTTAGCCCTATAGTCTTATAGCCCTATAGCCTTATCTCCCTGTCGCCCTATCGCCCTATAGCCCTGTAGCCCTATCCCCCCAGAGCCCTATAGCCCCATATCCCTATAACCCAAAGGCCCGATCACACTACAACCCTACAGCCCTATAGCCATATAGCTTAGCCCTATAGCCTAGCCCTCATGGTCTTCATAGCCCTCGCAGACTTCATAAACCTAAGCAGCAATTATACAGGGATCTCATGTAGATCAAAAGGCTCGGATTGGGCTTTCCTTCGGTATCATTACTGTCCAGGAGGAAGGCATGGAGGTGCGACAGGGAGGAGGGGACGAGGGCGCTGACGAAGATGAGGAGATACACACCAAAACGACGCGGAAGAGCATCGCACATGCTCCAGCTCTCCCTCCCTTCCAGGGGACGAGACGTGCCACACGCCACGGGCCCTTCTGTGCGGGCCCCCCCCGTGGGTCGCCGCCAGGAGAGCCGCGACAGCACGACGGCGGGACGCGCCGCAGGCAGCCTGATGCAATGGCAGAGCTCGCGCATCAGGAACCGCAGCGTGTCCTTCGGCTACACGCAAGAGTGACCCTGGGTAAGGATGACCTTTGGTGCGCGTCTCTTTGTGGGCCACGGGTGGACCAAACACAAGCGCGCAAGACGAAGCTACTATCGCATCGCGTTCGGCGATCGGGAGACCCCCATGGGCCCCGCACCAGCGGTCACTCCGGCAGAGGATCACTCTTACGTGTAGTCGAGTCCAGGGCTCGAGCTAAACAGTGTTTTTCGTTTTCCTTTCGTTCTCGCTTTCCCTTGTTTTGTCTTCCGTCCGCCTTGGCTGCAAAGCGAAATCGACACGACAACGGTCCGCGGAATCGCCCAAACACCGTTCAGCTCGAGCCCTGGTCGAGTCCTGGAGGGGGCTGGAGACCTCGCAGAGCTCGCCGAGGAGGGCGCAGGCGACGTGGAGGCGGGCGAGCTCGGGCACCGCCTCCCCAGCAGGCTGCCCTCGGAAGAGGCCCAGAGGAAGGCCCGCCGAGACCACGGCGGCGCTCCCTCTCGGCCCACGCGCCGCTCCAAGTCGGCACCTGGACCCCTCCCGGAGCCCAGCCTGGCTCGGGCTCCCAGGCGGGTCCTGCAGTCAACCCGTATCATCAGGACGCACGAGAAGGACGCAAAGGCCTCGGAAGGCCAGGTCGACACTCTGCGAGCGGGGCGCGGCCAGCGAAAGCGGCCGAGGATGGGCCGAAGGAGGAAGGATGCAGGGGTACCCTTGGAACGTCGCTCATCCTTTCACTGCGGGTCGGCTGTAGCCGCGGCGACGAGGAGCCGGCAGGAGGCCCCGGGAAGGGCGAAGAGCGCAACAGCCCCTGACATCCGCCGGTATGGTTCTTCCAAGCCGCGTGTCCAGAGGCCCCAGCCGCTTCCCGAGGGCCAACTTCTGTAGCCCCAAATCCTTCCTTTATCGGGATCGGCCAAGAGGGGGGTGTCCAAGAGGGGGGGGTGCAAATCATGACCGGCGGCATGTGCGCGGCCCAGCGGGGGGGCCAGGGACGCAATAAAATAAGAAGAGGCGCCACGCAATCTGGGGAAATATCATGGCCCACGCCATGATATCCACCCCCCCCTAGTCATCACCCCCCTCTTTTCCGCCCCCGACTTTATAGCCTCAGAACGGCCCCCGAAGGCCCGGGCCGACAAGAACCATGCCGCCCCAGTCCCAAGCATCCGGCGTCTCGGTTTCCGCGAGACACGGGCTCCCGAGCTCGCGACCACTTCCCGGGGACCAGTTCTTCATCCCGAGCCGTGTTTTGACGGTCCCGAGGCCCGGCGAGGGCCTCGCGAGGCCGAAAACGATGAGAAGCCGTCGCCCGACTTTTTCCTTCGAGACGCCGGGCGCCTGGGGAGATCTTGGACCACCGCCGTCGTCTCGGCGGGCCCTCCTCCGAGATGATGGGCTCCTCGTGCCCCTCCAGGGCCTCCGCGGGGCTCGCGAGGCCGACCGTCTGAGACATCGCCTTCTGGCACCTCTCGGGCGGGTGGCAGCAGGGGGTGACCTAACTACTAAGAGTACTAGGAGCTCGAAGACGAAGCATAATCATAATAACAATAATAATAATCGTACTACTAATACGAATAGTACTATGATTAATAAGAGTGCTACTACTAATAATACTAATACTATTACGAATAATAATACTGATGCTACTACTACTACTATTACTACTACTACTACTACTACTACTACTACTACTACTACTACTACTACTACTACTACTACTACTACTACTACTACTACTACTACTACTACTACTACTACTACTACTACTACTACTACTACTACTACTACTACTACTACTACTACTACTACTACTACTACTACTACTACTACTACTACTACTACTACTACTACTACTACTACTACTACTACTACTACTACTACTACTACTACTACTACTACTACTACTACTACTACTACTACTACTACTACTACTACTACTACTACTACTACTACTACTATAACTACTACTACTACTACTACTACTACTACTACTACTACTACTACTACTACTACTACTACTACTACTACTACTACTACTACTACTACTACTACTACTACTACTACTACTACTACTACTACTACTACTACTACTACTACTACTACTACTACTACTACTACTACTACTACTACTACTAAACATAATAATACGACAAATAACAATAAAAAAGAATAATACGCCGCGAGCGTCAGCGTGACCTACATAGGGGTGAAGAAGAGAAGGGCCCGAAAGAAGCCCTGCAGGGCCCCACGTGGGCCCTTTTGGAGCCAGCATGGGCCCCACAAGGCCCCCCGCCCCGTAAGAGAAGGGACCCCGAATGCCATAGAGGGCCCCTCTCTTCACCCTCCCTTTGGGTCACCCCCCATTGCCGACCGCCCGAACCTCACGGCCGCGCGCAGCACGGCGCTCCGGTACCCCTCGTCGCCGGCCACGCGCCAGACGTCTCCTCTGCGGGGGCTGCAGGCGACCACGACCACACCGAGGACACACCCTGGGGGATGTCCTGCACATGTCAACAATCAATCGTCAGGGCACTGAACCCAGACACCCTCGCGTTGTGATGGATCACGACGGGAAGTTCTTCGCTATTTTCGGCCTCTGCGGGCCCTTACCGGGCCCAGGGACCGTGAAAAAACGACTCAGGATGCGAAACAGGTCCCAGGGAAGAGGTCGAGACCTCTGGGGGTCGACGTGATGAAAAATCATGACGTCGGGGTCTGGGAAGGCAACTCAGTGCTGATCGCTGGTTGTGGTCGATGTGGCGTCCCAGGGCGGCCAGATCGACAACAGCCACAACCAAAGCGGCCATGCCGAGGTCGGTGGCCCCTTCCCCGACGTGAGACTCGGGTTCAGGGGACTCGG